GTTAGACTTCTTAAGTGGCAGTAAGTACATGGGTACTGTTTCAGAGCAAAGCCCAAGAACTGGATGGCATAATTGCAAAGCTAATCAACCCTTATTAAATAAAACAAGGATGCATCTAGGATTTTCAAGCTTGTGTATTTAATGGGGCTTTGAAGTTGCCCAGTTGACAATTCTGGAGTCTTGGGGACTCATGCAAACCTACGGGTGGTGCCAGGTGAGGTTTTGCCACTTGGACATGGCAGCGTTTTAGCAGGAATATGTCTGTGGTGATGGGAAAAGACATGTTCCTTTGTCACCTGTTGGCTCTCCTTCTGTTGCTACATGTTTTGTGGAAGCCCATCCACTGGATGTAGAGCATCCCTGGTCCCCTGAAGGGGCAAGTGAAAAAAAAGTAAAGCATTCCAGAGAAAAGAATCCCGAGCATATGTCTAATATAATCATCTTTAAGATTTCAGCCCCAGTGCAAGAAAGAAATTTGAAAATCAGAGTCCATGCTGCTGCTTTTATTTTTTTCCAAGAAAAGAAAATTAGTGTGGGGTTTTGCACAGGTGCGTACATACACAAATATACCTAAATCTTTATTGTAGGGCCTCTTTGAGAATGTTGGTGAAAATTTATGTAACCCAGGTAAGTTTTGTCTGTAAACCTGGACCAAACAGAAATAGAACAAACATGTTTTTATGAAAGTTTCAGAAAGAGTAGTTGGCTTTTCCCCCACTGTGATTGTTTTTCTTTAGTGGCTTGTGTTCTTTCCAACTCACGATGGCTGTATATGTAACAGAATGAAGTGTTACCCAGTCCTGTGCCATCTTCCTGATTCTTAGGGTAAATCCATTGTTGTGCTGACCATTTCAGTCCATCTCATTGAAAGTTTCCTTTTTCTTTCTCCCCTCCCCCCCAATATTTTACTGTGATTTAGGTCAAAGTTTATGGAATAAATTACTTCCCATGCACACATTCTGTTTGTGACTTTGGCTACATTCTTTCCAATGTATCAGCATTCTTTCCAGTTCTCCCTTGGTTCCCTGTTTGCTTTTGCCCATTTCCTGATCTCTTTCTGCCTTATGAACTTTGAGGATGAGTATATGCTACCCTGTGCTCTCGTGTAGTTGGTTATTCTGGGGAGCAAGTTCCTTGATGATCTAATTGTTCACTTTCTGTTGCTGTGCTTTTAGGTACCATCAGGCCAACTCCAGTCCCTAATAACTGTACATACAGCAGATCAAATCCTCCCCAATCCTGCACCATCCTCACAGTCTCAACTACACTACTGGTATTTGAAATAGAGGTGGCACAGCCTTCACGGCACAGCAGCACGCAAGTCACTACACTATGATAAATGATGGGCAAAATGACAGAAACGTGTTGTATTCATGTTACAGCCTATCTGTTGTTTGGCTGGAAGCCGATCGATTCCTAGGAGTGGTCTCAGCTCAGGTCTGAAAAATGGCTAAGAGTTATAGCCTCAGGGCTTCCTCCAACTCCCTAGCAGACAATGTAACTCTGATTGTCTTTTATGATTTTGAATTTTGCTAAGTCTATGTCTCTCATTCTTTCTGGAACCTCCTATTTTGATCCTACTCAGAGCAATCAGTAGTTGTAAAAAGACACCATCTAATTCTTGTGGTCTCAGGCTCCTGGAGTCTCTGGTCCTTGTGGTCTATTAGTCCTTTGTCAGTGTTGTTGGGTGCCGTTGACTTAAGTATGACTCACAGTGACCCATGAGCAACAGATCTGAACCCTGTCCAATGCTGCGCAGTTCTTATTGTTATATAATAGAATTGAGCCCATTGCTGCAGTCACTGTGGAAAGCTATATGGGTGAAGGTTTTCCTCTCGCTTGCTGATCTTCTACCTTTTCAAAGCATGATGTCCCTTTAAAGGAACAGTCTCTCCTAACAACATGCCCAGTGAATGTGAGGTGAAGCTTTACCATCCTTGCCTCCAAGGAGCAACCAGACTGAACTTTCCCCAACACTTATTTCTGTGTTCTTTGGTGGTCCATGGGAGATTCAGGACTCTGCACCACCATAGCTCTAAAGCATCAGTTCTTTTTCTGTCATCCTTATTCACTGTCTTGCTCTTAGATAGATAGCAAGTGATTGAAAAGATCATGGCAGGAATCAAGAGCACTTCAATGTTCAAACTGACATCGTTGCTCCTAATTTTGAGAGGTCCCTGACAGCAGACTCCCAGTGAAATGTGTCAATTTTTTTTGTTTCTGTTTAAATTTGAGTTATTTATTTGTTGTTTTTATTTTATTAGTGATGAAAAATTTCTTTCTGAAGGTCTGCTAAATTCCTGATTCATTAGAACATTAGCAGAAACAGTTCTCAAGCTAGAAAGGTCGTCAGAGGCAAGATCCTTGTACTCTTGAAATTCCCAGTGCAATATGTCCTATGATCTCCTGACTGCTGGTGCCAAGGTGTAGATGTGGATCCAAGCAAGATGAAATCATTGACAAGTTTAGTCTTCTTTCCATCTATCATGATATTGCTTATTGAGCTCGTGGGGAGGATTTTTGTTTCCTTGGCGTTGAGATGTAATCCATATTGAAGACTTTGACTTTCTGCAGCAAGTGCTTCAAGTCCTTCTCACTTTGAAGGAAATTTTGGGTCATTGATTTTCTTCAGTCTTCTTTGTTCTAGGTGGGAAGACACTAATAGTTGAAATTAGGTAACCACTTGCAGTTTTCAGGACTCTAGTCTTAAGTACTCAAGCCCAGTGACTCAGTCCTTCAAGACATCTGGTTACAACTGTGACATTTTCATAACTTTACACCCTGTGTGTGCCACTGTGTTTCCTTGCATTTGCTGGCTATCTTCTGTACCAAACCACACACTCTACTAGAGCTTAGTCTTCTGGGTGATTCGTCCAAATCAAGCTGGTGTTTCACCATTCCAGTTTCTAAGGCTCATTATAAGGCTTTCATCTTGCAAAGACATAGGGACATTTTTCACACTGCAGTCTTGATTGTTCTTTAAGGGATGCCATTTGTAGAGATAATAGTTACCTAAAATGCATTTGCAGACACTACACTATGAACTCTGGTAGCCTAGTGTAGAAGGAGTTGTGCTGCCACCTTGAATCCAGGTGATTTGGATCTACCAGCTTCTTGGCAGGAGAAAGATGGCGGATCTCCTGTGTAATTTCCCGATGCTACAAATCCATTGGAGGGTCAGCTGTAAGTTGGTTCTGACTCAATGGCACATAACAACAACAATTAGAATTCTAGTTGTGTTGCTTCCTGCAGAACTCTATTTGGGCTTTCTTGTCGCTATTAGCTCTTGACCCTGTGAAAGACAGAGAGAGGGTCCTTGGCTTCTCACAGTAGAGAATTCTCTACCATGTGCAGATATCATTAATTCTGATTGGGTCAGCTTTGATTCATGGCAACTCAATGCATGCCTGTGTATATGTGCGTGTGAGTGTGAGCAAAGAGACTTCTGTGGGATGGATGATTAAAGCTTTCCATTGGGCATTTAGAAAACAAAAGCCTATAAGAACACTATCAAAATACAAAATTACAAAATAGGTTTACAAATTATGTAAATGAATAATGAATGCAACTTTATGCATGACCTGCTTTGAATTCTTGTAACTCAGTGCCAGGGGCTCTATTTTTGGTCCACAGAGATGGCATCTGCACCTTCTCCTCAAAAGGGACTTCCTCAGGTACTCCACCGTCTATAGAAAACGTGTCATGATGTTGTCAGGTGCCCTGGAGTTGGCTCTCACTCGGAGCAACCCAGTAGATGAAAGATTGTGTCTCTGTCTGGTCCCGTGTTAACCTTACCTTTGCCACAGTGCCTGAGCTCACTGTTGTTGCCACTGGGATAAACTGTCTCACTGAAGTTACACCTCACTTTTATGAACCCTCTGCTTCACCATGCACTGCACCTCTTCCCAGAAAAGTGCCTTTCTTTGCTTTTTTTCCTTCTCAATGTTAACCATAATTTATTATGCTTCATACAGTTTAATGCCTTTACATAGTCACAAAACAAAAAATAGACATCTCTAAGGCATTTTCTGCTTTCATTTAAGAGCCATCAGATGTCCATTCCATGGCCTCTTCTGAATCCAAGTGGTATTTCTGGAAGATCCTCATTAATATATTGTTCCAACCATTTAAAAAGAATCTTCAGCAAGATTTTACTTGCATGTGATGTTAATTATAATGTTTGATATTTTCCATATTCTCTTAGATTACATTATGATGATGATGATATTGATGATGGATTGTCTTTCAGTCTCCGTTGCTTGGGAGACTATCTTCCAAGTTGCTTGGTGTAAACAAATGAGCATATCCAGGGTTGCATTAGAAGAGCCTTTCTTGATAACTTGCCTAGTGTATGTGATGAAAGAGATCTCTCTCTCTCTCTCTCTCTTTCTCTGTCATTGATAACCAAGATTTTTTAATTATAAAAGGAAAATATTGGGCGGAAGAGGGGAATGTGCTAATAAAAAGCAATAGTAATACTTCTGGTCAGTTTTTAAAGAATTAATGAAAAAAGGGAATCTAAATTACCATGAGCAAAATGAGTTAAAACAATGTAGCTCAATAAACCCCATCTATATACATAAAAGAAACAACTAACAAGGAAGACTTACTTTTCAGTTGTTATTGCATGTTGGAATCTACCCACGGGTGACCCTCCAGCAGGTTTGCACAGGATGACACAATCTTGCTTGAAGTGAAGACAACTTGAAACACTTGCTGTGGAAGAATGAACACTGCAACCTTTAATAGGCACTGCATCTCAATGTCAAGAAGACAAAAATTCTCCCCACTGGAACAACAGATGACATCACGATAAATGGAGAAAAAGCTGGAACTGTCAATGACCTCCTACCATTTGGATCCACAATAGATACACGTGGCAACAGCTGTCAGGAGATCAGGAGATGCATTGCATTGGGAAAGTCTGTGGTCGGGGACCCCTCCACATTATTGAGGAACAATGATGTCAATTTGAGGACCATGTTGGGACCATGATCCTCTCAGTCATCTGTTATGCATCTGATAGCTGCGGGTTTCAACACCTGAGCAGTGAAGCATTTCAGAATTGCAGCACTAAACGTGGCTGCTGTGGCACCAACCCTTCCGTGGCTTGTGATACGAGTCTTCAAGTGTCGGTGGATACGGCCCACTGGACACCGGAATCCAGCTCTTTGTGAAGGAGATACTGCTTTAGCCTTGGCCTTCCCACTGTCTTTTGCAGCTGTGCCACCATTACCGAGCTGCACTGCATCCACTCGGCCTGAGCGCAACACATCCAGCAACACCCAGCAACACACCCAGCCCGCCAGCACTAAATCAAGACCTGCTGCCCCCTCAGCTGCCATTTGGTCTCCGTGGCACTGTCTTCTCCTCTAAGGAACATTCTGGATGAACTTTTTCCATGACAGGTTTGGTTTTCTGTTTGTAGTCTGTGGTATGCTCAGTTTTTTTTGCCAACAGCAAAATTCAAAGACACACATTCTTCTTTTGTCTTCCCTACTCATTGTTCAACTTCACATTCATAACAAGTGACTGAAAATACTATGGCTCAAGTCAGGTGCACCTTGTCGTTTAAAGTGACAACTTTGGTTTTAGTAGTTTGAAGAAGCAGCAGGTTGGTCCAATCCAATAAACTTTTTGATTTCTTGACTCTTGGTTCCATGGAAAGTTGTTGTAGATATATTGTTGTTGTTGTTCTTATGTGCCGTCGAGTCACTTGTGACTCATAGTGACCCTATGAGTGCCAATCACACTGTCTCTGACACTCCCATCCCAATTACCCCAGTCACTGAATCAATCCACCTCATAGAGGGCCTTCCCCTCCTGCACTGTCCCTCCACCTTCCCAAGCATGATGTCCCTCTCCAAGGACCGGTCCCTCCTCACAACATGTCCAAAGTATGTTATACGGAGCCTTAGAATCCTTGCCTCCAAGGAGCCACCCGGTTTAACCCTTTCCAGGATGAGTCTGTTTGTTTTCCTAGCAGTCTATGGTACCCTCAATACTCTTCTCTAACACCAAAGCTTAAAGGCATCAATTCTCTTTCTATCCTCCTTAGTCATTGTCCAACTCTCTGATGCATAACAAGTGATTGCAAAGACCATGCCCTGTATCAGATGTACCTTAGCCTCTGGAGAGACACCATTTCTCTTCAGTACTTTGGAGAGGTCCCTAACAGCAGACTTGTAGATATAAGTACAATTAATTTCTGGGAAAGTTCAGTCTTCTCCATTAACCATGATGTTGGGTACTTGACTTCAGTTTTATGTTTGTTTATAATCCATACTGAAGCCTGTATGTAGTCTTTGAAACTTCACCACTAAGTGCTTCAAGTTCTCTTTTCAGCCATCAAGGTTGTGCCATCTGCATATTGTAGTGTATTAATGCTTGCTAGGGAGCTTTCCTCCAACCCTGTTGCTATATTCTTCTTCATATATTCTAGTTTCTTGAATTATTTGCTCAGTAGACGCATTGAATAGTGAGAGGGCATTAACTATGGTGCACACCTTTCCTGATTTTAGATCATGCAGCGTTTGCTGGTATGCTTCTTGGTCTGCATAAAGCTGGCAAACAAATAGAATTAAGTGTCCTGGAACTTGAATCCTATGCAATGTCTTTAATAATTTGTTTTTATCCACACAGTCAAATGGCTTTGCATATTAATAAAACACAAACATCTTTTGTTTGTATAGATGAAGAAATGTCTACTTAACATTAGCAATGATATTCTTTTTTCTAAGTCCTCTTCTGAAATCCATGGTAGACAGTGTTTGGTGGAGCTCCCCGATTGATTTTACTTGTGTGTGAATAGAAAGTGGGATTGGCCATGCGATTTTGAAATAATGAACCAGTGGAAACTTCTGAATAACATCCATATATTGTCTGATTGTTCTGGAAGGTGACTTTTCAGATTGTAAGACTCTAAAAATAGAATGAGGAAAAAGATGCCTTCTCAAAGTAGACCACGTTAATGACAGGATGTATTAAAGATTTCTGCCATTTGCTGGTGAACATGACTCAAATGATGAGATCAAGTTACAAACATACATTATTAATAACAGTGTGGAATGCGTGAAGTATGAATCTAGAAAAACTTGAAGTGTCAAAAGTGAAATGGATTGCATGAAGACTGACACTCAAGAGATTGGTGAGTTGAAGTGGATGGGCATTGGCCATTTTGAGTCAGACAATCATATGATCTACTATGTTGGGAATGGCAAATTAAAGAAGAATGATGCTGCATTAATCATAAACAAAACCCAACAAAATAAAACCAATAACACATTTCAAGACCCATCCAAAGGTGCATCACTTATAAGTAATTTGATAATTTCCATATGTGTAAAGGAAAACTTGTTGATTATGACTATTATTTGAATTTATGCACCATGTACTAAAGTCAAAGATGAAAGCATTGAGGGTTTATGTCAATGTTTGTAGATTTAAATGAATCAAACATGCAATCAGGAGGCATTGATACTAACTTGTGGTTAGAATGCGAATGTTGGAAATAAGAATGAAAAGTTGGAAAATATGATCTTGGTGCTAGAAATTAGATCAGCGATCACATGATAGAATTTTGTACAACTAATCACGTATTCATTTTAAATATATTTTCTAAAACACATAAACAGTGACAATACACGTGGACCCTACTGGATAGAATACACAGGAATGGAATCTGTCACGTCTGTGGTAAAAGACAGTAGAGAAGCTCAGTGGCATCATCAGCAGAACAAAGTCCAAGGCTGACTCTGGAACAGATCAGTTGTTCATCTACAAGTTCAAGGTGAAGGTGAAGAAAATGAAAACAAATCCACAAGAGCCAAAATACAGCATTGAGCATATCCCCACCAGAATTTGTCTCAAGGATTCATCTGTATGTAGAATGGATGATTTGATTCAAAGAACACTAATTAATGACTGAAGCCCAGTGGAATTGTGGGATGATAGCAAAAACATACATGAAGAAAGTTAAATGTCATTTAAAAGGTAGGAAAGAAGGGCTAGACAGATGTGTGCCTCAGAAGAGACTGAGATTTGCTCTAGAACATGCAGAAGCTAATGTGAAAGGAAGACATGATTTTATAAAGGGCTGAAAAAGATATTTCAAAGGGTTACTGGAGAAGATAAAGTATTATAATGAAATATGCAAAAACCTAGAGTTAGGAACCAAATATGAAGAACTTGGTTGGCTTTTTCACAACTTAAAAAAAATGGAAGAAAAAAAAAACCCCAACTCTCCAATTTCATTAGTAAAGGGTTCTGTGAGCAAAAGATTGAGAAAATCAGGAAACATCAAAAGAAGATGGAATGTACAGTCACTGTACTTTAAAGAACTGGTGTGTTCAGTCATTTTAGGATGTAGTATTTGATCAAGGATCATGGGGACTAAAGGAAGAAAAACAAACTGCACTGAAGGTTTTGGCAAAACCAAAACTCCAGGAATTAATGAAATATCAGCTGAGATGTTTCACCAAGCAAATTCAGTACTGGGCATACTTACTTGTCTTTGCCAAGAAAGTTGGAAGGTTACTACCGGGCCCATTGACTCACTGGGAGAAATCCGTATTTGTGCCCATTCCAAATGAAGGTGATCTTAAAATGGGAAGGGGTAATGGCTTGAGAAGCTGGGCAATACTTCTAACCCAGCAGGTTTTTTTCTCTTCATGATCAGTGAGCAGGGGCCTATGCACAATCTTTAGGTGATCCACAAATAGGTGTTTATATGTAGAAGAGGTCCCTTTTGCTTCTCATTCTAGTTTCCCCACTTTTCTCACGGTTTTTAATAATTTTGGTGCTCCTGAAGTTGCTGTTTCATATCTTTATATTTTCCTGGCATTTCATTCTGTATCGAGTAAGGCCACAGTATCTTATTTTCTGCGAATTTTCAGGTTTTCTCCTCTATTCTGAATAATAGGTGTTTCCTACTTGTTTCTTCTGCTTAGAGCTACAAATGTGAAAATAAGGAGGAGAAAAGTAGGCTTTCTTATCTTTCAGAACCAGAACCAGATGCTGTCAAATTTATTCCTACTCATGGTGACACTTGTGGATGTCAAAGCAGAACTGGGCTCAGATCTCGTTTACTTTTCAGTTGTTCATAAGGAATTAAATTCTAGATGAATAACCAAATGACATCTTTTGCTTTGAGATTTCTTTTTGAGTTGATTTGTAAATCAGATGAATGATGTTTGAGAAGTCTAGAAAAACCCTTTAACAGACAGGAGACTTGGATTTAAGAAGCAGTGTCCGTATTGCTGTCCTACTTTCATCCAGTACTGGGGAGCTGCTGGAGAAGATTGTCTATGTGTATGCAAGTCTTTAAATGTTGGGTGTATCAATAATCTTGGAGCAGGCAATCGTCAAGGCAATGGAAATTAGCAATGGAATAAAAGAAACAGTGGAAGCTCTTCCAGAATTTCTAGATTCACATTATTAACAGTACTAGTAAGAGTTATAATTATTGAATATTTTGTCTGTAGAAGACACCCTTAAGCCCTTTTAATGTTCCTTTCCCCCCACTCTCCCTGTTCATTCTTGGCTGCAACCTATGAGATAATGTTGTCATTACTTTAAAGTTATAATTGATGAGTCTTACACCCCAGAGAACTACAGTAACTCACATAAAGACACAATTAGCAAGTCTGCAGTTACTTTTCAGACTCAGTACTGGTTTCTGATGATAAGCAGGTATGAACTGGACTAAGAGGATAAGTAAAACATTACAGATATTCTTGCGATGACCTTTGTAATAAATTTCCTGCTGGGTAACAAGTATCATTCTATCATGTGATTAAAACTCAGACAGTGGCTTTGCTTGCATAAATGAGAATTTACCCTAGTCCCCAGCTAATTTGGTGGTCATTCCAAAGAAAGACATGGAAGAAGTTTCTGTTTGAATATTTTGTGAGACTCCCATTTTAAAGTTGTTTACAAAAATCAGTCTCATATTTATCAACATTATTTTAAATTGTTAAAAAATATCGTTATTGCAGAGGGAAGTTTGCTGATGCATATTTTAAGAGAAATATCTGGCTTCTAAGCCAGACTTTTATTGTTCTTGTTTTCATTCTTATATGTGGTAAGGGAGTTTCTGAAGAGAAAGAAATCAGGACAGTGAACTGAGGCTTTGAAACTGGGTAGGGGGGGGGAATCTCACTTGAAGTGGAGAAAGAGCAGTGACTGTGGGAGGAGTAAGACTTTGGTGGGGTATGAATATGAAATTTTATGTTAGAAGATGTAAATTTAAATTCCCGCCCTGCCGAATCCAAGCCTGAAACAGAATAATACCGTGGTTTTAGTGTTATTGCTCAGTCCAAGGAAGTTTCATGTGAGAGTACTTTGT